GCCCTAAGCCCCTAAACCCTAAACCCTAAACCCCTAAACCCCTAAACCCTTAAACCCTTAAACCCTAAACTGAACCCTAAACCCCTAAACCCCTAAACCCCTAAACCCCTAAACCCCAAAGGTCTACCCTTTAAACCTCCCGATCTCATGGCCTCGCCTCTGGGAGTGGGGCGCGTGTGTTCAGGGCCCACTCGCTAGGAGATGAAACGGGCTTATGGGGTTTAGGGTTTAAGGCTTTTAGGGTTTAGGGTTTAGGATTTTTAGGGTTTTTAGGGTATAGGGTTGTTATGGTTTAGGGTTTGGGGCTTACGGGGTTTATGGGTTTAGGGGCTTTTTTTGGGGGGGAGGTTTGGGGTAGACTCTTAGACCTAAACCCCAAACAGTGAATAAGATGATGGCCCCACACCGACAAAACGGCGTGCATACTTTCGGGGTTCCAGGTAAAAGGACTGAGATGTGAAATCCAGCCCATCTGAAGATCCAACCTCACAGACCTAAGCCGCCTGGTCAATGCACAGGCCTTCAACGAGCTATTGATCCTACTGCGGACATAGATTCCCAGGGTTTGAAACGAGTCAACCAAGCCGATCTTCAACCCCCGAAATATCCTCCAGCCTAACTCTACCTGCACCCGAAAGCCTAAACCCTAAACCCTTTCTCCCCTAAACCCTACAGCCATAATATGAAGCACAGATGGAGCCCCTGGACTCTAGGTAACCCCAAGCCCCCCAACCACTTCACGAACAGAACTGCGAGTTGCAGGCATGAGCTGAAGTACCTACTTCTTGGATATCCCTGGGTGCGGTGGATGGGTTTAGGGTTTAGGATTTAGGGATACAGGTCTACTATGATCTACCCCAAAGCCCCTGATCCAATTATCCAGACCTCGGTTAGAGCCCTTCGACCCAGAACTGGCCAAAGTCTTGCAAACGCCTCGCTCGGGAAGGGCCCTGTTTGGACTTATAAGGTTGGGTGTTTGGTTTGGGGTTTAGGGGCGGTAGGTGTTTTCCAGCTTCATGGTACACTCTGGAATTAGAGTCAGTACATGTTGCTGTTGGATCCCATTGTGCTGTATTTGGATTTAACCCACCACCAGTTAATACTGACATTCATCTCCATGCAGCTTCATCACTTGTTGTTTGAGTTGATCCACGTTGTTATAGTTGTGCAATAACTACATCCTTCGAGTCCATTACGCCAACATTTACTGCCTTTCATTTTTTGTGTACGCGCAGAGGGTTCTAGAGTTTGGTGAGTTCCAGTGAAACCTGTCTGGCCAGGAGCACGGAATCAACGACAAGTCCGTTCAGTTGCTGAAGTCCCCGAATCCTGCCTGCAAATGTGTTTAAGCGGGGTTTAGGGTTAGGGTTTTCTACAAGCAATAGCAGCCAACATCCCTCCAGTTGGAACCCTTAGCAATACAGCCCCCAAAGGCGCTAAACCGAAGTATTCAGGACCACATCCACGATTCATGACACGCTCATGCCATTCTGCCGTAAGCCGCTCCACCTGCATCCAGGTACTTTTGGGCCGTCATGGAGTGGGAAATCTTCCCAACGTTGATCCGTGGGGGTTCCCTGGTCGTCGCATCTGACGAGGGGCTGCTTGTCACAACGACTGGAGACTACCTCCACCTTCTACTTTTACGCTACACTTCCCAGTATACTACTACTACTACTACTCCTACTACTACTACTACTACTACTACTACTACTACTACTACTCCTACTACTACTACTACTACTACTACCACTACTACTGCTACTACTGTTACTACTGCTACGACTACTACGACTACTACGACTACTACGACTACGCTCCTACTACTACTACTACTACTACTACTACTACTACTAGTACTTCTGCTACTATTGGTATTCGTGACTATCAGAATACCAACCATACCTTTGGTGTAGAACGGCAAAAAAAGCCCTACTGTGGGTTCCTTGGGGTCATTAGGTACACCTCGAACCCGCAACTCCGCAAAGGTCCGATTCCTTAAGATGAACAGTCTCGAGAAATGGAAACCCTAAACCCCTAATCACTAAACCGTAGGGTTTAGGGTTTAGGGTTTAGGCGATCAAGGTTTTATGCAGGTACCACAGCAGTTACTAGTACACTCGCAAAAGTGTTTCCTTCTTTGCTCCATAGCCCGGCAGTCGCAATCCGTATCTGACCGTGGCGGCCGAAACACCCTCAATCTCAGAGGATCGCAAAGCCTATGCCAAAAGCTGTATTTACTTAGCCGAAGTCAACCACTTTGCTCGAACGAAGCTCTTGGTACCAAGCCCGAAGCCCTAAACCCTAAACTCTAAACCCTAAAACCCTAAAGCCCTAAAGCCCTAAACCCTAAACCCAAAACCCTAAACTCTAAACCTCTAAACCCTAAAACCCTAAACTCTAAACCCTACACAAGGCACAAGCAGCCAGAATACCTGGCCGAGATTATCCGAGCCTTCTGCCGCAAACGGCCACCGTTCTTGCAGACCTGAGCAGTCCCTAATAGGGCTTAGGGCTTATAGGGTTTAGGGTAGGAGTGTTGGGGTTCAGGGTTTAGGCTTTAGGGCTTTGGGCTTAGGGCTTAGGGTCTAGAGCATTGGGTTTAGGGTTTAGGGCTCAGGGTGTTGGGTGTAGGGCTTATAAGTCGAGGGACAGCCGCAAAGGCCAAAACCCACACGATCCGGAAGGCTCGTGTCTGTTTATGTCATAAGTTGACCCTAAACCCTAAATGCGAACAGACTTCGATGCCT